TTCTCTAGGTTATTACTGAACTAACTTCCAAATCCAATTTACAATCCGTATCAATTTACAATCCTTTGTAATCCTATTTGACTTCCCTTTTCCTGTGATTTCCATGGAGACAGACAACAGTGTCTGAGATCACATCATCCTCTTGGATGCTCTCATCTCTTGACTACGGCTATAATCCAAAAGACTTTGGTTCCTTTCTGTAATGGGTCTAGCTTCTACCTTAAAAACTTTTCTTGCTGCTCCTGATAATGGCAAAATTTTAGTTCCCTAACGAATTTTGCAAACCCTGATTGACAATAATACACTTTCTCATTTTTCTAGTTCATTCAATTCAGTGTAAGCTTTAATAATGTTAAGCTGTTTAGGTCATTGCAAAATCAGTAACTATGGTAACGCTTCAAGAATTCTCATTTGTGGTGGTACTCAACACCTTGGGATCACCCACTCCTGCTAAATTGCCTTCTGATTACTAAAATGTACATATTTGTTGCATAAACAGAAATGCTACAATCACAAAGAGATAGCCACATTTTCAAACACTTTTTAAAATTTTTTTAATTGCCACACATTTACAAATCTTAACATAAATACCCTTATTGCTACTTTCCAACATCAACTGTGGAAGCAAAAATATCTGCATTGGCTCTTACCCATGGATTTCTCTGAAAGTTCAAATTAAGGTGTAGTGTATTAGTTCGCTTGTTCTAGGACCTCAAATTCTCAAAACTTTGTCATATAAGTTTGTTCCTTAAATTTCCCATCTCAGCAAATGTTACACAGTGGTCTGTAAGTTTAGTCTGGCTGTTTGACTTTTTCCCACTCTTAGAATGTTTATTCCAAGGTGTGGGAAAATTTCATTTGTGCACAAAACTTTTTTTTAAAAAATTCATGGAGTCTTATCACCAGAATTCTTTGCAATAAAAAGCTTCTTATTTTTTGAAGATATCATAAGGGCCATGCAATATACTATCAGTAGTTTGAAACTTACATACACCCCCTCAGAACCTGAGTTTTCTATTAGTCTACCGTATATTCCCTTTACTATATTATACATATATATAAAAATATACTGTATTTCCCTACACATAAAAACACTTCTCTTCTGGGATAATTTCAAACTTCTCCCAAATGCCTACTTCTGTAACCATCTGAATTCCTTATACTGTCAGCCCTGAGCTACAGGTCAAACAGCTAGAAGAGACAGGGCTTAGAGAACAGAGAATACCCAGTTTTACAAGTGAGGCTAAAAGAGGCCCAGAGCAGGGTATATTTCTGTGAAGACTTAACTATTCTAAGAACAAGAATGGAAGAATATCTTGCCAAAGTGGTAAATGAGGTTACTCCTATGAAGACAGCGCACTTATGAAAACTAAGAGACCAAGAAGATATTAGATGAGAAAGATGCCACTTACCAACTGCACCTGACCCAAATGTATCATCATTGAATTGATCAATCTCCTCATCTTCCTCTCCTAGGCCCTGAAATGCATCTTCATCTTCATCTAGAGGACAATCCTCCAAAGACTTAAAAAAAGAAAAAAAAAAAAAAAAAAAAACAGGAGAAAAGAGATTAGCCATTCATTAAACTCACTCTCATTTGAAAAACGTTCACTTCTTTTTCCCAAAGAGCTTTATTGACTTTTTTTCCACTCTACAATTTGTCTGACTCGGAAGACTGCAGTACCTTCCTTTCTTTCACTTGCTATTTCCTATCACTTATTTCATTTAACCTTTCTTCCTAACTGTTCCATTTCTTGAATTTATCAAGAAGCTAGTAATATCATTTCCTTATTCAACCAAGAAATTAGGCCTGCAACTTCCTTTGTATCACTGGTTGGAGCAGAACAAAAATAAATGCTTCATTATTTTGCTTGAATTTTATGTATTGTTCCCTTTTTCAGCTTTCATTTCATTTTCCATCTTTCTCCCTTCTCCTTTCTATAGGTCTAAACTAGCGTCAAACAGAAAGCTAAATTTTCAACCAGTAAGTGAATTCTGAAAAAGCTGTAAGAAGACGATTTCATGTTCTGGTTCTACCACTTAGAAGTTGCATTCTTTCTAACTGAGCACGTACTATGTTTCATGCTCTGTGTTACGCTCTAAGCCTCAGTCTCTTAAGCTGTAATGCGGGTAGAATACCACCTACCTCAGAAAGTTGTGAGCATCAAAAGTGGTAAGTGTGGATTGCTGAACAAATGTTAGATCTCACACAGCAAAAGGTTCTATTTTGAACTTTTTCTCCTTCATACTTTTCAACTGATTTATTCTCCATATTTTCTTTGGGCAAGTTCCACCCACTGTACCCCAATATCTTTTCATGTTTACATAACATCAGTTTTTCGTGGACCACCCACCACCCCTACCGAGTAGGAAGCTTATCTGTTCACAATTCCCAAAGGCTCAGAATAGGACTATCACAATCACTCAGTATGTAGGATGGTGAAAACTTTGTCTGGCTACCTGTTAGGTCCCAAACCAAACCCACTGCCATTATAGCAACTGCCATTGGGTTTCGAAGGCAGTAAATCTTTACTGAAGTAGATTGTCACCTCTTTCTTCCGTGGAGCGGAGCAGCTGGTGGGTTTGAACCACCAGCTTTCTGGTTAGCAGTCAAATAAATGCCTTAAGCATTGTGCCACCAGGGTTTCTTATCTCTTAAGTAGGCTGTCCCTAAAGAAACTATAGGCCAAAGGTCAGTCTACCCATCCTTAAGTTCTCCCAAAGGTACATAAAGCAGGCGTGCAACTCCCTCCACCTGAGAGCTAACTTTCAGATGCATTCCCTCCAAATCAGAGATGTATTTAACCAAATCACTGCTTTTTTGAAGTGGAAAGTCTCTTATGCATCATCAAGACAAGTCCTAAGATCCTACAAATCCAGAAACTTTTGCTCAGACATTAGGAGTCACTCAAGGTCACACAAGTGGGTAAGTGACAGGGTCAGGGCTCCGACTATTACTCCATTCTTGGCACCCATCACTAAACCCAGGTCTCCCTCCACTCATCCAGAAAACTTCTGCTGGACACGCCCCCCTCCCAACTCTGCCCTCGATAATAAAATACTCTGGGCCCCAATCAAAGGGCAAGTCACGGCTCCTTTGACCCGGTGGTTGTACATGTCTGCCTGTATGTCTATATGGGTGGGGGTGTGTAATGGGGGCAGAGCGGGTGCAACATCCAGGGCGGGAAACGCGTTTCAGGGTATCCCCAGGTGACTCCACCTCCTCAAGAAGGGCCACCAGATCCGTGCAGAGCGCTCCTCTCCTGGGCTCGTCCCGGGACAGAGGAGGACGGATCTGGCCACGGCGGTTAACGGGCCCTCCCCACCGCCAACCAAAGGCCAGCTCTCCCGGGCGTAATCGATAGGGCAGTCCCGAACCCCCCCCGAGGTCAGCTCACAGCCCTTGGGTTACACCGGTGACCCCAGCCTTGGTGCTCCGCTGTCCCGAAGCTCCCGCCGCCCGCCCCCTCCCCAGAGGAGCGCGGGACACACGCACAGGGGGCGCAAGAGGAAGAGGGGCGCGTGAGGGAGGGAGGGGTCACTTCCGGTCGCAAGAGCTCACCTCGTAGCGGAACATTCTTGGGGAGGGGGGAAGGGAGCGGGGAGGGGAGTAGGGGAGGGAGGAAGAAGAGCTGCTTCTCCGGGCTCCTCCGCGCGCGGGTCCTCCACCGGCTCGCGACCCCTGGCCGCCGCCGTACGCCCGGAGCGTGCGTGGGAACGTGCGCAGGCGCGCCTGGGGGAGGGCGGCCGCCCCGCTCGGCGGCGGGCGGCGGCGGCTGCGCGGGGACAGATTTGGCGTCCCGCTTCCTAGTCTCCGCGGCGGGAAGGAGGTCCCGTGGTGAGAGACTGCGCAGGCGCTGCCCGTCGGGGGCTTCCTCTGGAGCCGGACTCGCAGCTCCGCCTCCGGCTTCTCTGAGCCCGCCCAGTGCTCACGTCGGAGCTGAACAACAGTCACGAGTTTTCCGTCAGCTGCGGGGCGGAGAAAACCCCTGTGATTTTTGGACTGCGAGAAATGGGCTGCTCGGGCTGTTTTTCCAGCTCCCAACTACTTGAGGGGGTCTTTTCCTTACGATCAGCGCCGAGTGGAGGCAGAAAAAAGAAAACAAATTATGGTCTTGGAAAAGGGCAGAATTCGTTGCCACTGTCAGCGGCGAGTCACCCGCTGAATCAGCAGCAGGCCAGGGCTGTGATTTATGTGGTTCAAAGTGATGACTACTCCCGTTTTGTAAAAAGCCGAAGGCATATTCCGGCGGTGCAACTCGGGTGGTATATTTAGGCGCCAGGCGCTTTAGGCTCGTGGAGAGCCGCGAAGGGTTGCGCCGCTGTGGCGCTTTCTGCAGCAAGGTCGTGGAGGCCGAGGAGTAGCGCCTGGGGGCGCCGCTGGGTGACGCCACTGTCTTAGAGGATCAACCCCAGAAAAGAATTTGTCCGCGTTGGAAGCCTCAGCACCCCGCTTTCACAGTCCGGTGCCTGGTTGCTTGCCTCCATAAGCCTCCCCTGCTATCTAAGCCAGTTTGAGTTTACCGAATCATCTCTTTCCGCCTAAGGGACTAAGCTGTGCGTTTCGCAACCCTTTTCTTTGGGTGTCTCTTAAAATGCAGCCTCGCCTAGGAATGGTAAATTCCTCACGTGTTAATGTACGTGGATTAATCAGAGCCCGGGTATGGGCAATACTGCAGGGTGAGAATGGATCCTTTGATACTGGTGCTGAGACTATAGACAAGTTAATCCACACATCTCTGGGCCTTAGTTTCTTTGTAAAAATGGGTGTAATGATACCTGGTAAAGTAAGTGGGTCAATGACATCATGATTGACTCTAATACTATTAATACTGATTGAAGCCTGCCTCTCATTGTGCTAGGTGCTTTACGTAATCCATATCTCATTGAATCATGTCAACTCCATGGGATTGGTACTGTTATTTTATCCACTTTATAGATGAGGAATCAGGATTAGAGAGGTGAAGTAATTTGCCTCAAGTCACCCAAGGGTAAATGGGTAGCGGGCAACCTATGTCTGTCTGATTCCAAAAGCCCGATCTCTTGTCACTGTCAAGATTAAACGTTTACATGGGCCAGGCCTGGGATAAATGATACGTGGTTTTTAAGCATGCATGGAATGTTAAAAAATTTCATGTACTAGGAAACAACAGCATGTCTCAGCAATTACCAAAGAATTAGTATCCTACAGACTAGAGGTTAGTAAGCAGTGGCTCACAGGTCGAATCTGGCCAGCTGCCTGATTTAGTAAATTGAGTTGTATTAATTCAACTGCACTCACTTATTCACAGACTGTTTTAGCCTGCTTAATAACTGCAACGGGCAGAGTACTTAACAGGGCTTCAGACCTTTTCATTCTGGTTTGACTCCCTGCTGAGAACGTGCACTTCCACCCCAGATGTACTGAGTCAGAACCGCGTGTTAACAAGATCCCCAGGTGGTTCTTACATATAGGTAAGTAGATATACGTAAGAATCATGCGTATAACAAGTATTCGGGAAAATCGTATGTGTACGCAAGAGTCATATGTGGTGGTAGGTGCTGTGGAGGCAGCTCTGACTCATAGTGACCGTCTGTCCAACAGAACCACTGTCTGGTCTGTGCCATCCTCACAATGAATGCTTGCCATACTTGAGCCCATCGTCACAGCCACTGTGGCAATCCATCTCATTGAGGGGCTTCCCCTTTTTTGCTGACCCTGTATATTCCCACGCATGATATCCTTCTCCAGGGACAGCATGAGCAAAGTATGTGTGACGAAGTCTGGTCTTCTAAGGATCATTCTGCTGTACTTCCAAGGCAGATTTATTTGTTCTTCTGGAAGTCCATGGTATTTTCAGTATTCTACATGTATCATGTATGTGTAAGTATACATACATATGATTCTTACAGATGCCTACATGATTCTTAGATACACGAGTATGTATAATTAAGAATCCTATATATGTGTAGGCATATATACGTAAGAATGATGTACACATAGTAATCATGTATACGTAAGTATATGTACATAAGAAGTATGTATACATATGATTCTTACAGATCCCTAGCTGATTGTTATGTAAACTTAAGTATAGATACTTAAGAATCATGCATAAATAAGAATCACCTGGAAATCTTGTTAAAAAATGTAGGTTCCGATTTGTAGCCCTGGGGTGGAAATGCACGTTCTGAGAAGGGGGTTGAGCCGCAATGAACCGATTGGAAGCTCTGGTACTTACAATGGAGAGCATATTGCCTCCAAGCCTAAAATATTGATTATTTGGCTCTTCATTAAAAAGCTTTCTGACTTGATGTTATACACCATATTTTCTGATCATTATGTTAAAAATCAGTAGTAAAAATAGCTTATGGAAGAAAACCTAGACTTTCAGAAATTAACAGAAGAACACCTCTAATTCATAGGCTAATTAAGAGCATAATGTTGTTGTTGTTGTTATTTGCCATTGAGTTGGCCCCGCGACCCCTCCTTGGGTTTCCCAGGCAGTTATCACTATGGAAGTAGGACTGCCCAACCTTCCTTCTGAGGAGTGGCTGGTGGGTTTGAACCACCAGCTTCCTGGTTAGCAGTCAAGTGCCTTAGGCACTAAGAGTGTAATAAGAAGTAAAAATTATTTAGAAATTAATGATGAGGTAAGTGCAGCATAGCACAACTTTTAGGATGCGGCTAAAGCAGTTTATGTGAGAAGTTAGAGAAGCATGAAAATAAGAACAACAGGATAAACCCACAGAAAAAACATAAGATAAAAGCAGAAAACAAGATGTCGTAGAGAAGGTGAACAGAAGTTCCCTTTTTCTCTCATGAAGCCCTGTCTGTGAGGGAGATCATGAGAGTTCTTTTTGGTGTCGGTGCTATCCAGTCAGTTCTGACTCAGCGACCGCCTGTATAACAGCAGAACAAGCCCAGTCCTGGGCCACCCTCACACTAGTGGGTGTATTTGAGCCCATTGTTGCACACACTGTGTCACTCCATCTTATTGAGGGTCTTTTTTTATTATTCACCTTACCATGCATGATGTTCTTCTCTAAGGATGATATATTTACTATTCTTTGCCAACACTGTAATTCAAAGACATCAATTCTTTAATTCCTTATCTACTGTCCAGCTTTTGCATGCATATAAGGCCATTGAAAAGACC